CAGTTGCTGGAGCCGCATCCTTCCCGCCTGACTTCATCATCGACTTGACCGATTTCTCCTTCATGTCGAGCATCAGGTCTTCCCGATCTGCCTTGATCTGATAGTCGATCAACGCCAATAAGAATTCATACGTCTTCTGAGGATGCTTGTCCGGTAGTCTATGGTAGGCATTGAGGCCGAACTCCATCTTCTTGCTCCCTTTGATCTTCCTGTAAAGGATGTCTCTGAGAGCCAGCTTACTGGGTCTGTCCTCGCTCCTCATCTTCAGCAGCAAATCATACCATTTGTTCCTGAACATGACCAAGTTCTTGTCGCCAGGAAAGTCAAGGTTGAATAGATGCTCGATGTGGTAGACAAGATCCGTTCTATCGGAAGTTCTGAATGATTGCATAACTAATGCCACCAACTCTCGTCCCTTCACGATCACCCCTTGTTGATGTCGTAGTTCAGAGTGTCGTGTAGCATCGAGGTATACGTCCTTGGCTTCGTCAGGTGCTTGTTTCAGCATGTTCTGCATGCCCATGGCCATCTTAATATCTATCGTAGCAAATCTGTCGCCACCTGAATCGCTAAGCAAATCCAGGTCTGGGTTCAACCCAAGAGCCTGCTCCAGCCATTTCGTCCATGCGTCGGTATCTGGATCTGCACATGCGCTCAGAACATTCATCAGCAGTTGCATCTTCCAGGTATCAAGTTGATGGATCTTTGGCCAGGCCGGAATAGATACTCTCTCGGCCTCTTTCCTCGAGATTCTCGGTCGATCATTCTTGATCTCTCGGTTATCTCTCGATCTCCTTCGTCTCCTCCGTGTCCGATCGTCTTCTTCCTCTTCTTCTTCCTCGTCTTCTTCATCTCCTTCGTCGTCGTCATCCTCATCCTCATCATCGGGTGGATCATCCGGAGGTCCTCCTCCGCCACCAGCGAGGCTCAACTGACGTCGACCCGCTCCCTGCCCATTCCCATTGGGCGGGAATCCACCGTAATCCAATGGGGGCGTAGTACCGTTGTTTCCCCCCCATCACCACCACCAGTCGTAGTAGTGGATTGTGGGACATGCCCAACAACCCCTTGCATCTGGGATAGGTGTACATCGATCATTGGATCACCGAAAGACGGAAAGAGGATCGAACCTGGCATCAGCGACGAATTAGGGATTTGATTTGAAGACGATGACGGGACTGACCCAGCCACCTTCTTGTCTATCCTATTTGAATTAGCCTGGGTTCCTCCCTCAGCGCGTTTCACTACTGCTCGTTCACGATGTCCATCTTTGCTGCTGGAGGCTTCCTGTGTCTCCAGCTTCTTGTGTGCACGTAGTTCCTCGTTGTCAGCATCGAGTTGGCGTACAAAACTCTCTTCTTGCTTGAGCGTCGCCTCTCTTTCTTTCAGTTGTCTCTGAAGCTCATGCATCTCCTCGAGGTACTCATCGTACATTCCCTTAGCTGTCAATCTCCAGTACTCAGCCTCCTTCGACTTCTCGTCCATCGTGCACCGTTCTTCTTGTTTCTCTTCTTTGACCTGGGCTAACTCCAAGATCGCATCTTGACGATGACCACCTTCGACAGCAATCATCTGGTCCTTCATCGACACGTCGGACTCATACTGTTTGACGATCTCTTCCTTTTCGCGAAGCAAGCAATCTGCTCTCTTCGATTCTTGTTCCGCAAATACTGTAACGTCATTCAGTCTCGCCATCAGCTGTTCCCTGGAGTCCTCCAAAGAGTACGTCTCGGGGCGCTTGACGAGTGCGTGCTCCAACTGTGATTTCAGACTTTGGACCATCTCCTCCTCGTTGAACTTCTCGATAGATGTAGAAGATTCTATGCCTCTGATCTGTTGCTGATAAACTGATATCTGTTGTGAAGCCTCACGGTGTATCTGATTTGCACGTATAGCTGATTCCTGCGCGGCCGACTTCTCGCTTGCCATGTAGGATTTCATCAATGCAATTTCCCGCTTCTGCTCCATGATAGTTCCTTCAGCTTGTCTCATCTGTTGCATTATAATATTCGACTCCATGTCTTTCTTCTCCCCGTACTGAAATGCGTTCATTTCCACCTTGCGCATCTGTTGGGCTTCTTCCTCAAACTTGCGCCATGCCTCAGCCATGTGGTGTTGGTGGTGACTCACTAGATGTCCCGACTGCTTGCTAGCAATCTCGCATCGTCTCTCCAGCTCCTGGATCCGGATGGTGCTTCCATAATCTTCCTGATGAAGATTCGCCATAGCTGCCGACATTTCATCAAGTGTCTTTTGATATTCCCCGATCTCCACCTCCATCTTATTCTTCTCTTTGATCGCGGCGCGAAACTCCGCACTGGTGGGTGATTTTGACCTCCCACCCTTCGATGTCGATCTCACGCCCTTCTGCGACGTCCGTGGTGTCGCAGGCGAAGATGATGATCTTCTCGGTGGGGATTCTCTTTTCTTCGACTCCTGATGAACATCGATCTGCTTCCATGATCTTGTGGGAGTAGATATGTCGCTGAATAGCGCGGAACCTCCGCTCCCAGGTTCATCCTGTGAATCTGCAACCATATCCATCACCGCAGGAAGAGCCATCAATCCATTGGATCCCTCTGAGCTGCTGTTCCCAAAAGTTGCAGTACTTGGGCTCGCCGAAGACGCCATTGTACTGTGTAGGTTATCGTTCCTTTATTGTCCCTGTACCCGCAATAAACCAGCTGTCTCCCAGTCCAGTGTAGAGCTTGTAGTTACGGCTGATAACCTGTCAAGAGACGGCAAGGTGACGTCCCGTGGGACGCTATGCACCGAACCCTCAAGCTGTAATACCAACCACGTAGAAAGGTGTATACGGACGATGCCGTTATAGCCGAACCCGTGTAAACGTTGTAAGGGAGAAGGAATGATAGTTACAACAGTAGTCCTGACAAATGCAGCGCAAGCGAAGTGTTTTCGCTCTCAATGCCGATCACGTATGTATGCAGTCACACATCAGATCTTGAACCTCAATTGTGTCTTGAGCCAAATGGCGATCAATGGAACTTGGGAAGCAACACCAACAAGGACCTCAGAACTGCTACCCAATTTCGGCACGGGGCCTAGAGGGTTTTAACACATTGCAATCTTTACTTCGTCTGGTAGTGCTGTGCCGTTGTCTTGCTCGTAGCGATTCATGTCGTATTCCCATTGTAGGAATTGCTCTTCAAACTGCGCTTCATTGAATGTAGGTTCCAGTAGCTTGGCTTCGTGTTCCTACTGGTAGGCTGAACCTGTTGTGCAAGAGTCGTAGTGTTTCACATCCATTTGCGTTGCAGCGATTTGCCTTACTACTGTAGCTGCTGCTCCCTGACATATATTGATGAGGATGTATCGTGAATCTCTGGCGAGGTCTACTGCTTTGCTTGCTCGTGTAGGGTCGCGTGTGTGTGTACTTTGATGTCTGCATCCTCAGTTTGTCGTGTAGCTACTTGTGCAAGTTGCAGCACCAGGTCGAAGTCTCGGTCTATGAGTCCGAGGTGTGCTTGTAGCTTGAACAGCCATTCTTCATACTGGGGGTAGTCGCCAGTGAAGAAAGGTGGTGGCAGTTTGTATTTGTGTAGTCTCTGAACATCGTTGTCTTGCTCCTGTGTTGTCCTGCTCCCGGAGTCATGGCTCCTTCTGTTTCTGCTGCTGTTGGCCCATTCTCTGTTCCTGCAGTTTGTTGTGCTGATTCTGATGCTGCTTCTCCTGACATGTCGTAGTAGTTTGGCATGTGATTGCAGTTGCAGCTGTTGTTGTACTTCCTGCTGTGTACTGGAGCTGCCCTATGTTTAGGATCTCAGCTCCGCTACCACGTTAAAATCGGACTGTTGTTTAAAGTGCTGTAATGTTGTTAACACAAACAAACCTGTGGCCTGCACAGCGCCTATTTTGCATGGGCTCTGGATGTAGTAAAGAAGCTCAAGGCCTGCAGTCATGTACAAGCTACGTAGTACAACACCGCATGTGCATGGACAAGAGAGAGAGAGAGAGAGAGAGAGAGAGAGAGAGAGAGAGAGAGAGAGAGAGAGAGAGAGAGAGAGAGAGAGAGAGGAGAGAGGGAGCCTACAGCAGGCCTGCACGGTAGGTTGACGAATGTGGGCCCTTATAAGGAAAAAAAGGTTTGCAGAGGTCCCCCTTTGCCTTGAAGCTTTTGGTTTGAGGCGCCCTTTGACTTTGACCGCCAGCCTGCGTAGTTGATTACCTATTACAGCCAGCAATAGTAAAGGAAACGTACTCCCGGAGCTCCGGCTCGAAAGTCGCAACATTGTAGTACAGCCGTAGTAAAAGGAAACGTGCTAATGGGGCTGGATTTGAGTACGGGCAGGAAAATACCTACTTTTAGAATTGGTTTCTCTTTCTAGTATTGGGTATTCTAACAGTAGTATTCCCGGATTTGGGACTTTGGAAGCAAATATGTACTATTCGGGGTACCTTTATTAGTAGGGGGAAGGCATTACTCAGACCAAGGTCGCACGATCTGTTCCAGAATGTTTACCGAGGATTTGCAAAGGGTTCGCTTTCGATGTTGCGAATTTGCACCGCTGCACGATGATAGCGATCCGACGAGCTAGGGCTCACTTTACACGCGGGAAACTTGCACCGTGCAGCAGCGAGAGCAACCTGGCACACCCAACGCCCTCTGAGGGTTATTCACCTTTGGTGTTGGAAGCTTGAGCCGCCCCCGCGGCAAGAGCAGTCCGACATACTCAGTCCGCACACGCTTTGAATGTTGGACATTTCCGCAGAGAGTGCGCCAGCCCACGCTTTGCAGATTTGCACGACACCCTGCCTTTATCCCTATCGCAAGAAGCCCTTAGCGTAGACGCCTGTTTTAGCATGTAAAAATCCACGGATGCGGAGAGGCATCGTCTGGGACTTGAAACTTCAAGTCCTCGGCTTTCGAGCCTCTGTTTTCGGATGGAAACAAATGGATTGGAGATAAACTCCTCCTCATTGTAAAAATCCCCCCCCCCCCCCCCCGCCCGACCGAAAAAAGACTTTAGCGGATCGCACATTCACTTGCGTCTGTTTAGGCGCTCATGACTCTGAACCAAAACGCGACGCGCCGAAGCTTCATGGACCTCTCCCGCCTTTCCATCTGGCCACACGTCCACCCGTGCATTCTTTCCTCCCTGCACGTTGACGTTGAACATCTGCCTCTTTGTGGGCAGGCAGTGTGTTGGCAGCTGGGCCATGGCGTTCCAATTGGTTCCCTCAGCGGCGAGGAAAACCAGCAAAAGCACACTGAAATCAAATCATTCGTCCAAACCCTCGCATTTAAAAAACCAATGTTTTCACACATTTTGAAGGCCCGCTCCTTGATGACTCCCTCCAGGAAGCACAGGGACCCAACCAAGATGTACTTGGCCTCAGAAAAGCCTCCGAAGTTGCTCCAACCATTCACTAACTCCAACGGCCAACCCGGCGCTGCCGCAGGAAACACAAGGCCGCCCAAGGAGAGCCAGCTATCCTGGCTACCCTCCATCCAACCTGGGCCGTGGCTGAGCCGCTCGGAATCCAGTTTTGGAATCATGCTTTGATATTTGTGAATGAGCACCTACATTTTCGATTATTTACCGTGGGTCACAAAATCAAATGGAACTCCGAATCTGTTTGAACTACCCAGCAACTGACGACTCCCTGTCCCGTGATATCCACCTGCGCCACCGCGCTCTGTGTTGGCACTTTGAAGACGAGGGTGCCACCTTGGCAAATCAATGGGCAGCTTGAACTATCTTTGGTGGATTCACTCGCCTCTAGGCACTTTGCTCGCTGTGTAAAGTCGCGTACAACGTGTGGGACATGCCCCATAGCTATGTCTGAACAGGAGCCCTCAATGAAGATCGCAACTTCGAATCCAGGCCACTGGGGCGACACTCTGGCGGCAACGTGGTCAACTGCCCCCAGTTGCTGGGGGCCAGCGCCGCCTGCACGCTGCAAATGCCATTCTTGCGCACCACCATGGCGTCACGAAGGCCGGGCAGTTGGGCGCCAGTGTCCAGGGTCAAGGTTTCTAAGACTTCCTGATTTTGAGGTCAGGGCCCCAGGAAGATGTTGAAAACCATCATCGGTATTATCTTCAAACCAAAAAGGAAAATATGAATGAAACCACCAACAAGCTTCATTCACTGGCATCTCCAGATCAAAATGGGTGGTCGACATCGCATCAATGGCCTTCTGTTTGCTGGCCTGTGACACGAAGGGCAAGGCCGCCAAAACCACGCGCAGATTGTCCACCAGGTCAATGAGAGGAATTGTTTTTGTTGGTGATTCCACAGGTCCAAAGTTGATGCGCACCACCAATTGCCTTAGCGAAGCCAATTTGGGAGGGAAACACATATGCATTCCAGGATGTTCGAGGACTCCTGAGCTTCAAACTAACAGTCCTGATCACAACAGCTGCTCCCCCCCTGCCCCCAACCGTGTCAGGCGGCAGCATCCCTTCAGCCAACTCGCCTTTAACGCTGAAGCCCACCAGGGACCCCGAGGGACTGGACAACTCGAAGAGCTCGTGGCTCGCCAGGTTGGCGTCCTCGGCACCCCAAACTTGGAAACAAACAAATATTCTAATCATTTCTCGCAAAACCCATTCATCAGGGAACTTCACGGTGAGCTCCTTTTTGGCTTTCTTGCGGGCCCATGGGATAATAATAATAATAATACATGTTGGTTCTTGAGCTGAAAAAAACATGTCGATTTGGCGAAGTGATTGTAATGCATGGCGGAGGGCTGAAACTCCGAAGACGTGGATTCAAGAGCGGTGTGGTTTCGTGGGAAATGATTGGTTGATTTTACGAGGCTTCCCAGAACTGCAAAGTCACCAGCACCATCTCGGACCCGAAAATTACTCACCACTCCAGGGCTTTGAGGTTTGACAGGCGCACGCAACCCGGACCGGAGCTGCAATCAACAAGGTGCTGCAAGTCATCTGCGTTTGGATCGCTTCGCTGATTAGAACTAACGGCAGACACACATCAACCATTTACAAATCTTCAGGCAAAGCCCTGGTTGGTTTTGGCGCAGTCCCTGCAGTCCTCCTGCAAGGCAGCCATCTTCTTTGACAGCACAGCTTCGACTCGCTCAACAGCCGCCTGGCCTTGCAGCATGGTCAGCAATGTCAAACAACCCTCCACTCAGCCGATGCACCACAATTTCTTGAAACGTTGAACAAGCCAATGACAAGACAGTGATACCCATCCTTCCCATCATTTTGCCTTGTGTTTCCCGGCCTTCAAATCTGGAGGTGATGTTCAGCCCCATCTTCCGGTCGTACTTCGCAGACGCCAGGAACAGCTCCTCCTGGGTCACGCTGAACGCAGGCGCCGGTGTCTTCGGCGTGGACACCGTCTTCTGCATCGGCGTCTCAGTAGAATTCAGCTGCGCCAGGGCGGCGCGTGACAGGACCTGCAGCGCCTTGTCGTCATCATCTCCAGTGCCTGGAGACAACAAAACTCATTCAGCGGAACGCGTTGCGAAAGTAAATGCAAGGATATTCTTCCGTGATGAAATGCGCATATGTTCCCCTCCAGTGCTAGAATGCGTACTTACAAAGGCACTTACCAAATTCGCTCGCGCTGAAAGTGAGGAGGCATTTTTTGCGCGCACGTGGACTGGAAGCAATTCGCCCAGCATGCCCCCACATCGGCTGCATAAGCTTGAAAACTGGGCTAACATGGGACACAGAAATCAAATATGTTCCACCTGCCCTCAAATGGTGTAAAATAGGAAAGAAACGTGTGCAAAACAGCAGCCAGCGGCGACCCGAACAGTCAAATGCGTCCCAGCTACACTTGGGTCTCTAGGTCACATTGGAATCCCGAATGTGGCTAAGAGAGCGCACAGAATGACATTCAGCGCGACGGAGAGGCATTGTGGGCATTCGTGGGTGAGCAAAGTCTGCCTCTAGAGGCTTTGAAGCGCTTTCAAACAACATGAGAGAAGCATGTTCAGCTCAACATCAGCTTGATGAGACTGCATGCGCCCGCCCAACTCAACATTTTAACATAAATTGCACGAGCCAACTCGGGGACAACAATTTCGCAGCATGTAGCAGCCGTGGCAAAGTGATCAGCATAGGATTGTCGTCACACCCGCTGGCTCAACCCTATCCACCCCCAGCCCCACCTTTTCCGAAATAGTTCCTGGGCCGCTCAACCGAATCCTTGAAATTGCCGTCAGTGAAGTTGGTGTTGTTGCCGAAGCGTCGATGCAAACGGATGGTGTGGGTGAAGAGTACGATGCCAGCGCTGCCTTGGGACGTTGGAGAGTGGATGTTCCAGCAGGATCATCGGTATCCCCATGTAGAAGCACGGATGGATAGATCAAACACTTGACGCCAACTTCGCCAATGTGCTTTGCCACAGGAACAAATCCGCACCATCATGCAAACGACCCAAGCCACAATGTGTGAATCATCCAACTCCAAGAATTATCGCATCGGGTCTTTACCCACTTAAAAATGATTCACAAATAGCGGAATAGATTATGCCCCCCGCTCAAGGTCGAGAAGGTTTGGACAAATCCCCAAAGCTGATATTTTTTGGAGGACCCCTGATTACCCCTTCTGGGCAATAGGATTTTAAAAGGCAACACCAATTTTTGGTGCCGAGCTTGAACACCTTGTCATTTTAAACAAGCAATTAATAAAACACATGCATTTTGGGGGAAGCGCAGTTTTGGGTAAATCTTGAGGGGTTCAATAGTGAATTAGTATTGGCGGGTTTAGGGACAGACTAAGCAAATAATAAGCAAAAAGGAAAGCCTCTTTTCTGGCAGGCTTCGGGCTGCAGGGTTTTTACAGGAGACAGGGAAAAATATCGGGTAGGGGTTATTGAGCAAACCTTGTTGGCCCTTTACTTCAGTATGGGAAAACTCCGGAGACTCCACATTGCATTTAAACTTAACTACACGCGTAGCCTCCCCAGCTTCAGCGCTGTCGACCCAGGCCCAACATGGTCAACATGGCCCAGGTGCGCGCCGTAAAGACGATCAAACTCAGATCCGGTGCCGTCACCCGGTCGGGCCAACAGACCTCCGTGGTGACCTCCATCAGCGGCGCGGGGAGCAAATCGAACTCCAGGCCACCCACAAAGGAAATCACTGGCTGGGCCGACATGGAATAGGTGATGGCAGCACACTTCTCGATGACGGATTCGTAGGTGTAGAAGGAGTAGCCTCAATGCATTCCCCGAAGAATCTACCACGAAAAACCATCTTTAGGGGACGCTTTGGCCTCTTGAATTAGATGAATTAAATTTGACCCATAGTCACCAAACCACGTCCAAGGAACCTTCCCATTTGCTGGGATTGTCTTTGGCCCACTGGTTATCACACGGCACCGCCCACGGTTCCAACTTCACAAAATCCGGGCTGTCCATGCTGGGCACTTGCCAATCCCGCTGCGTCACATTGCCCGCTGCGCCCGTGCGGTGCTTGGGCGCGAAGGCCAAGCAGGAACCGGTGTCGAACTCGTCGCCCGCAAATTGTGTGATGAGCATGGAGGCATACGGCTGCGCTTCCTCAAAGGTTGCAAAAAGTCTCAGTGGGCTTCACCAAAGATGACCTGTCGATTGGAATTACACATTTCCACAGCTCCACATGCAACGCACGCAGAACCCACTGTCCGTGGTGCCGAAGCCGACGATGCCGTTGTCCACATCATTGCTCGGCTTGCCAGACGCCTGCCGCGCCTCGCGCTGCAAGAGGCTGCGGCTGGGGCGGGTTTTCTGGCGCCGCACGTGCGCGGTGAGGCCCTTGGGGCCGGCCAACTGGAGCCTTGCGCGGAAAATGATCGGCGTTGATGTTTTGCCATGCATTGGGCGGTTTCAACTTGAGACACGAGGCAGGCGCCTCTCCTAACTTCATCTTCTTCTTCTGCTATGCAACCTTGCTTCCCTACGGAGTTACCACAGCACCGTCTTCTATTCGCCAGCACCCCTTTGTTCTTCATTCACACATCAATCATAACCATGACTTCTTCCAGCTTCAAACCACTAAACATATTCAAGACATTTCAAGATGCATTGCCATCTTTGGATCAAGCCACGGCTTCTCCCCGGGCTTGGGGAAGTGGGTTTGCTCCACCGCTTGCTGCAGCAGGGAGGTGCTCTCTGAGAGAAGCGTGTGGATCAAGGCGCTGGCCAACTCGGCGAAGAAGGCAATGAACTCGGAGAGCATTGGGCCCAGCTGCATCAAAATACCTGGCAGAATTCCAACAACAGACTTTGGAACAATTTGAGACTTTGCTGGATGACGATGTCACACGCATACTCACGCCACGGAAAAACAACACCTGGCAAATCATCAATCTCGCGAACCAATTTAGGATACCTGCCGGCCGACCCTTGAGGAACTTCTGCGTGGGCGAGTGTTCTAGAAAACACTACACGAATCCGGAAAATGTAAGGTGTATTGCAGCACCAAGAAGTTTCTCCTCCAAAGTCCGCAAATCCCCTTTTTCATTTGGACAGCGATACCTTGAATTAATTCGAGCAAGTTGCACCTTTATTCATGAATCCCACCCATCATGAGGATGCACTCATGTTTGACTTGCATCCAGAGAGTTTGTCTTGTCTCAGGCATCTCTATCCAGATCTTTGATGGAAACACCGTCAGAAGAATCTGACTCCCGCACGCTGCCCAGATGCTGAAAGGCGACACCGTCTCCAATATGGCAGCCCCCATCTTCCCAGCGATGCAAGTGAAAATTTCCTGCAAGTGTTCATCAATCAGGGGACATGCGTGGCAACAACCACCAACAAAACCACGACAAACTACTGACAGCAAGAAGGCGTGATCAAAACTCAGCAGACTTAGGAAGAGATCAGGCGCAGAACATGCGCCACAGACCTTCAAGGTCGATTGAATTGTTGCTGGCTAGCTTGCAGAGGCCTTCACGCCAAGCAGCCAAGGCATTGCCGGAGCAGCTGGACACTTCTTCAGCCAAACCGAAGAGGATCTGGAAGGCTGGGACATCTGCAATCCACTCACTGCCTGGGCTAATCTGCAGAACTTGCTTGCAACGACTTCTTGGGAAAATGATTGAAGCGGTCGGGGACGGAAGACAAATGCAAAAAGCATGAGCTAATGGCTCGGTGACAACAACATGTTGGCACGAAAAATTCGAGCGGTTCACAAATGCTGTGTCCCCACTTGAGATGGTCTTCCCAATTCAAGGTTCTAAACAGATTTGGCCAAGTGTAAGTTCAAGGGCAACAAGAAAGCTATTTGCTCCCAATGTATCGTCACATGTCATTGTCACATGTCAGAACTCTGCCGCCCCATACACGCTTTAAACAAATCAAGATTGCACCTCTTCACCTGCCAAGTGATTCGTTTTCACCCGCGCAAATTGAGCATCACTCAGACCTCAGTGGCACCGTTCTTGGCCATCCCCCAATTGAGTTCGAGATGCCAATCGCCGCAGCCACACATTTGAAGACATCCGTGGCGGATGGATTGCCAGAGAGGCAGCTCTCAACATTCTTCCCCACACCCACCATGGCGCGAATCGGTGCTGGGAAGTTCACCGTGGTGGTGCCGAAGTTGAGATCGAAGAGTGTCAAGCTTTGCCTCATGAGAGTTGAAGCCCGACTGGCCAAAAAGACGCAGTTCTTGCCAATGAAAGGAACCATTTCTTTAGCCTTGATTTTAAGTTAAAAAAGAAGGTTGAGAGCGCAACACTCCAACCAAAACGATGGCATGGGTCGAAGTCAGGGGGCACCGGCACCAAACTTTTGGACACCGTCAACCAACTCCCAATTCACCCGAATTGCAGGATAGCAAACGTCACCACAGCGGCTATATAGTAAGATCTGGTTCTAGCTCCTGTTCCCCAAGCTTGCCAAACCGCCGCAGTTGCTAAAAAGCCTGAGTTGGCAAACAATCCCAGCTTTGTGGGGTGAAAACGTGTACAAGAACGTAGAACATCATGCCGTAAAACTGCTGGTTGACAGAAGTTGGCACGTATTCCACCCCTTAAACCGGTTTGTTTAACCCGATGTTCCTCATTTTCATGCATGTGTTCAGGTAAATCACGCTTTTGCAGATCAATCTCCCCATGCGCGGCTCATCTGCAGCTCAGTGACCCCACCAAGGTGAGTCTACACCGCTGCCTGCCCCAGTCCACTGAGATGTCTGACTCGCTGATGGACATGGAAGGCCCCCGCCAGTTGGGACAGCTGGCACCCCAATCGAAACCTGCAGCGGAAGCTGAAGATTTAACTGGTGCACAGGTCTGGTGGCAGATCATAGACAACCCTTGCCATTGATGTGTTCGTGGGAGCTGAATGCAATACTTCATCTTTTATTCGGTCACTGGCGGAGGTGGCGAAACTTGCAGAATCCGAACATCAAACAACAGCTGTGAAAAATGAGCCTCCAGAACATCCAAGTGCAATGTGATCGGAGACTTGGAGTTCCAATGATTCCAAGTTGAGAGTGCAGAGTACATGTTGGAGAATGCATAAGCCAAACAAGACACGCGGGAAAGGTTTTGCTTCGGGCATGTTCGGGCACTTGTTAGACTTGGACGTTCCCCACAAAGAGAGCAAGTCAAGCTAATCACTTCTTCCTCATCCTCATTTGGCTGTGGGGCGAAAGTCACATTGGAATTTCCCAAAGTTCTACTTGAAAAGCCATACTTGTTTTGACTCGAAGATGGTTGGCGGGCGATGCCCAAAGCAATAGAAGGTTGGGTTTCTGGGCTCCGAAACAGAAGGAACCCCATGATACTTCACAAAACAGGAAAACTAGGAGAAGCTACGTTGATGATCCGCTATGGGAATTTGGGCTTCCCCTTTTTTGAGACACGCTGAGATGTCGCGAAAAACAGTCATGGTCAGCCTTGGCTCAGAATCGCGATCGCTTGCTCCACAGTGTCAATCACTGTGTTGGCCACAAAAGCAACCTGCGTGGCTGCTGGCTCTGAGCCATGTTGGCACAACTTGCTCTTAAAAAAAAGGGTTGGGCTGGACAATCTCATGAAATTCGTGACAGAATCTCGAACTAGTGGGAAAACCCAACTGCTTTGGGGCATATCTTGGATAGCTCGGAGGTACAAAAGTCAACCAACCCCGAAACGCAACCATCTTCTGGCTGCAGAAACCGGCCACAGCAGCAAACAGCAGGACGGCACCAATCCCACAGTTGTCACCTTCCAGACTTTGCGACGCCAACATAAATTTGGGACGCTCGGATCTTCCCCCACAGTGCCACACGGTAGCACTCTTAGGTCAAGTCTGTCTTTCATACAGGTCGAACATCCACACTTGCTACACGAACTCAATCCGCATCTCCGGCTTTGTGATGCTGACGCCTCCACCCGTGCGGGGATGGTGGTGTTTAACCGCACCTTGTCCGACGCCTCGTTGTACGCATCGCTCAAGGCGTCTCCCACCAAGCCCGAGCCGTCTGTCACGACATCCACCACATCTTCACCCGCGTCCACGATGTCATCCACGACGGGGACGCCTCAGTTCACATCAGGGGTTCCGTTCACATCGGGCTGAAAATTCCAGGCTTCATGTGTGAACCTATGTCTCTTCATTGGACCCCTTGCACCTTGCATCACCGCATTGAACAACTTGGATGAATACTTTGGGTTGATTCCAATCTTCATCCTTCATCCTGGGAGTTCTATCTGAATCTGTGGCTTCTTCAGATCCGCGGGTGTTTTTGTTTGGGACGGACCACGTCTGACTTTTCGTCGGATCAGTAAACCAAGGGTCAACATGACACGGGAAAGCAGCCAGGAAACTTCCCTTGGACGCCACCGTCCGATCCAAGTCGGCCCCCTCCGCGCCGCCGGCACCAGCCCCGGTCTGCGCCGCGCCCGTCTGGGAGGCACGTTGGGAAAGTGACGCAGCTGCGGAGGCCTGATGAGAAGGGCAATAATTAAGTTCAGGGGGTCGAGGGATGCGCTGCCTTTGGCTTTGCAATTCACAACATGTTTTTGGGGTACAAGGCATTTGTTGCAATCACAATTCTTTTCGGCTTCCAATGCTTGTTTTTTGTTGGCGTCTCACCATGCTTGTCCCGGATGCTTTTATTGCAGGTGGTACATTGGTTCTCGCTGTTTTGTTGGTTGCCATATTCTTTTGCAGTCCATTCATTGCTAGTTGGTGGTACGCGCAGCCTTTTTGGACGGGCATCTCAACAGCCCGAAGCGGTTCTTTCCAGGTTGGTAGCTTTGTGCTTGCTACTGGGCTTCACAGTATTGAATGCGTGATTATCGAGGGCCGCGCCCGCGCAGCCTGAATTTTGGCTGTTTTTGGGACGTGCGTCTCGGCGCAAATCACCATGCTTCGCTTCCCCAGTGGATAAACGGCGGTGCCCAGAAAGCTTTGGCCTCACCGCCATTGGCTACAAATAGTCTATGGCAGTGCGGTTGAACTTTGACAGTGTATTCAGCAAAACTCATATGAACTCTGCACACGTGAAACCGGTCTCTCTCGGTAGTGTAACTGCTAAGTTGTTTCCAGTGTGTGCGCAAGAACCATCTCTAAACCGTGTGCAACAATTTTGCTTGTGACTGCAGGTGAACCGACTTGGATCACAACTATTACAGTATATGTACCACGTACCTGTGTACTTCAACGCCATGTCACAGAGAACAGACAGCAAAACATTCTGGAACATGCACCTGCAAACCAGATTGGAATCCGCTCTATATCGGATACATGACGGTTCTGCATAATGCCAACCACTATCTGCGTCATCATTACAATCGCAATTGTCCCGCACTTACATGGGCCCTAAATATCTGAACCGTTTCCTGCACAGCGCCTGCGGCGGATGCTTATCACTCCAGCGGCGCTGGGTTTGGTGTTGGTGCTTCTTCAGAACCGACAGCAACAAGCCCTTCGTGTGGCCATCTGCCCCTCGCCGTTGCTGTTGCCGCTGCTTCTTCACCTGGTCACCAGTAAAACTACCCGGTGCATGTGATTGTTCATCCGCAAAGCGGGGAGATGTGAGGAACACATTGCGATGGTTGGCTGATCGTGAAGGATAATGTTGGACCTGCTTTGGCAAGTGGGGGGTCTATTGCAGGAAGCTTTTCCTAGAACAAGATCCAGCGACTGTTTTGGGGTGGGCAATAACAATAGAAATGAGCCCCCCAAGGGAAAATCCCAAAACATCAAAATACCATGTCAAAGCCATAGCCTTTTACTTCCAAACGTCGGTTTATCTAAGTCCCCCTCAGAGCTCAGAGGCGAAAGTTCTTGGATCTAGTAAATTAAACTTTTCAAGTGGTTCCGAAGCAGTCGCACAACTTTGCAGCTGGTCTCCAAACCATCAAATTTAAGATGGCTTCTAAACAAGTCACATAAAAGGGTCTGCGCACGGGAGCCAGCGATCCTGTTTAATATGACTGTTTGGGGGTCTTCTTTAATGTCAATAGTATTTCCAAACTTTAAAGTTCACAATACGAAGTTCAGCACGAGGAATCTGAGAGTATGTAGGGGCAATACGAAAATAAGCGCTGGGAATCTGAGAGTAAGTCTTGGCAGTACAAAACTAGAACTTGCAACACTGACGCATTTTACGATTGGAAATGCTACACTGAGTCTTGGCGAGCCCAGTCCAACCCAGACCTCCCCCCCATACCCCGCTAAGGGGGGGCCACAGAAAAGAAGGTCCAACATTAAGGCTATACGGCCTGGTTTTGGGGGATGATGGACTGTTCTGCCCTCAAACAAGCACGAGGTTTGGGGATGACGTTTCGGACACACGAGGCACTGCCTGCCTGTTGCAGCCAGGCGGTGCGATGCTTATGTTCCAACTTGGGCTCCTCGTCGGCTGCTACACCACATTTGCTGCTGACCTGGCGGTCCGCTGAGCCAATTAGAACAGATGTTGCAACCAGCTTTCTGACCAGGCCATATATGCGCACTGTGTTTGAGCAAGGTGTCTGCTTGGTTTTGTTGGATCCACCCATCAAAGGGTGGGTGATTGCCCAGTTTAGAAGTGCGACACCAGAACAAAACCAAGAAAGCATCCAAACATCATTGAAGACCGCCAACCTGCCCAAACCTAGCAACCGACATTCAAACCATTCTACAACTTGGCAGCGCAAAATCAATGCGTTTAACGGGAAAATCTAAGCAAACACCAAAGACAAACAACTACGAGAAGGTAAACCACATCGCAACCCCCTCACTGCCACAACCCCTCACCTGCTTCAAGGCCACGTCTTTGTGATCCAAGCGATCCTTCAAGGATTGAATCTCCAGCTGGGCATGTTGAAGTTCCTCCGAGGGCTGTGAGGCAAGCTGAAAACCCGAATCATCCAATAAATGGGGGTCCACCCAAAACATATTGAGCATTGCAACAACGCACTCCTCATCACGAGGCCTGAGCACTTAAGCTTAAAGCCTTGCAACTTGAAAATAGAAATGAAATTAATGAAATTAATTGTGGTCTCCTTGGATTCGTATTGGTTCACTCCTTTTACGGGGCAGGCAATCTTGAAGAAGCGACCAGCTTGTCTTTACTTCTCTAAAGCAAATCCTTCTTGGAAAGCAACTCCTGTTAAACATGCAATTTTAAATAGCAGTTCTCATTCAACAAAATTATTCTACTGCCTGTCTTTCCTCCAAAAACTCCATCAAACAATTCAATTAAAGTCCTACTTGGCAACGGGTTTCTGTTTAAAGTCCAATCCAACATGAGAGTCATAAATTAGTTCTAATTCCAAGTGCAATCATAATTGCTTGAGTAGGCTCAACACTTTTCAAAGTGCAACATGCTGAGAGGTCCTTTGCTTTTTGGTTTCAAAGGCTCAAAGTTCTGAGAAGCCCCGGAACTCCTAACAGACTCTTCAGCTATCCGAGCTGTCAAGGCTAGGATTGTTAGGGGCCTCTCGGAAGGCCTCTTGAAATCTGGCCCAAAGCCAAACACTTAAAAACCTAGTCTTGAGTCTTCAGGCTTTGGAAGAGTAAAGCGCTGAGGCCGGTAAAACAACCAAGCTGGGCCTTCTCTGCGGGCCAAAGACTGAATGAGACGTGTCTGCAGTTTTTCTCTCAGCGCTTGTGCCATGAAAAGCAGACAGCAAGGGACCTGGGACCTCTCAGCACTTGGAGCGCTTGGAAGCACGCTGAGAGGCCCTTCTTTGAAGCTGAATTTCCTGCATTTGGAAGCACAAAATGCTGAAGGGGTCCCCAAAAACCTGCTAAGGGCTCCCCTCGCCGGACATTGCACAAAGCGAAAAGACGCCAAACTTTTCGCAAAAAGTCAAAAAGTCAAAAAGTTTTCGAGTTTTCGACTTTTTGAGTTTTCGACTTTTCGACTTTTCGAATTTCTGGGGACTTTTCGACTTTTCGGGTAGTCCCCCCCCGCAGTGGTTTGACTTTTCGACTTTTCGACTTTTCGATTTTGTTTTGACTTTTCGACTTTTCGACTTTTCGACTTTTCGACTTTTCGACTTTTCGACTTTTCTAGTCTTTTTAACAGCGCGGCTGCCCTTGGCTCGAAGAGTGCGGCCTAGCCCACAATAAGCTCTCATGCCTTTGACTGCGACGTGCCCCTACAACTTTGCAGGCTCTGGTGGGCCCGGTGTCGCTTTTGTGGGGCGTGGAGGGCACGCGTCTCAAGCCCCACAAAGTCATCTAGTATGACTGCTCAAAGAAGAGTCCACAGATAAGCTTCAGCTCCAGAGCATCATCGGCGAGTTGGGCTTCCCCCTGTCGGCATCGCGAAGCGTGAAAGACTGGCCTGCAATATCTCTGCTTCCATCTTGGGGCGTGCGATATGGCTCTCCACCTCCCTAAACTTTCCAGTCTTTGGCGGGCGTCAGTTTTGTGGGGCGTGAGAGGCTCGTGCTTTGAGCCCCACAAACTGGTGCTTGACAGCGGCGCGAGGCGCAGTGTAGCCCGCTTGAACTTTTTCACGTGAATAGCGTTAGAGAGCGAAAGGCTGATGGGGCACGAAAGGCTGGCCTGCTGCATCTCTGTCTTTATCTGGGGGTGGGGGATTACACAAGCTGATGCTTTCCAGAAAGGTCGCGGGATCCGGACTTGATGCTAGTTGGCAGACGTGTTTGCCTCAAGCGCCGCACTTGTAGCCGGTTTTGCATTTTCTCCATGTCCCTTGGAATCTGTAACGATGTGGCCAGAGATCTCGCATTGAAGATGTCAGCGCAGCATGTTGTCCAGACCCTTTGGAGCGAGCTCAGTTGATCAGTGGTCATGTAGACACGATCTACGCAGCAGCCGCGCAGGGAGTCTGTTGCGTCACGTTGGCGCACGCCAATCTTGAGATGATCTCTTCGTTTTCGCCATGATTGCAGCTGTGCTACAGGAGTTTGCAGTGTCTGGAGATATCGCCGCTGTGCCCTTGCTGCAGCTTCCGACAGTGAATGAACAGCCTTCCCCACAAAGTTTTGAGCAGCAAGTGGTGCTTAAGTGGGGTTCTATTTGGCGAAGTAAAGCGCACGCTTTGTCCCAGGGAGCACAGGAATCTTTTCAAGTCGTTTGGGCCCAGTGCCTGGTTTTTGCAAATGGTGTTTCTTTTCGAAGACTGTTTGATGAGCGGGCGATTCATAATGTTGCTCTGCTGCTCGATGGTCTGCTCAGCCGACCTTCTGTGTCCGGTTTGCGACTTAAGGTGTGACTTGCGCAGGCGTAACAGAAAGGCTGCTAGAGTGACTTTCGTGAAACGTTCACCAGAAGGACGCCGTTTCCGCGAAAAATAAGGCGTCCATGTGAAACGCATAGTGAAACCAATGCAACATAGACAATGGCACTTTCGGGCTGCTTGCGGCCGCTGCAGTATCCCTGCACGCAGGACGATGTTGAAGATTCAGAGTCGGAGGCTGAGGGCGTCGACGACAGCCCAACGGAACCAAGTGACCAGGCGGCTGCTGAGTCGGATGCTGAGGTCGTCGTTGCTGCAAAAGCGGCGCCAGCCCCGGCGAAGAAGCCTGAGGTGCCAGCTCAGCCTGCGGGCAGCGGCGGCAAAGAGCCTGCGGGCGCAAAGGTCAGGCTGACGGCGCGTCAGAGCCAGCGCTCTCGCCGCAGCCGTGAGGATGACGATGACCGCACGCGGCGTAGCGAGCGTGGTCGGCGTCGCGAGCGGCGCGCAGATCACCCGGAGCCGCGAGACCGACGCCGGCGGCGCCGCGATGAGGCTGAGGCTGAGGCTGATAGCCGCCCGGCACTGCGTGATCGGCGCCGGCGCCGCGAGGAGGCTGCCGACGGCGGCTGTCGGCAGCGTGACGAACTGCCGCCCGCCGCGGCTGCAAAGCCGACTCCGGGAGCCCGCTGAGCCACCCAAGCGCAAGCGGCCACAGCCTGAGGCGCCGCCAGCTGAGGCTCCTGAGGCTAAGACTTGCGTCGTTTGCCACCGCACCGTGCGGGGTGGCACGGCCGGCATGGACCAACATGCCCGGTCGGCATACCACTTGGCCTGGGTCGCCTTCAGTGAGGACAAGACCCGGGCCTGGCAAACTTGCCTTCGAATCGGCAAAGCCGAGGCTGACAAGCTCTGGCAGAGCTACTACGAGGGCAGCACCGGCGGCGAGGGCCAGAGCGGCAGCAAGCCCAAGTTGAAGAAAAAGCAGCGGAAGGCCGCGTCGCCGCCCGACAATCCGCAGGACAAGCGAGGCGGGCCGCCGCCAGGGCTGGACGGAGATGGCGACGGCTCTGGCCCAAGCTCCCGGGCACGCATCTTGACTGGCCTCTGGGAGTGCGCTCTGCACGAGCTGGCCCACTGAGACTCTGAGACTGAGACTGAGAGGCTTGCCTGACTCTTAGGCTAGTGTCTTAGTCACTTAGTGCCTCTTTGCTGAAGCCTTCCGTCAAGGCGCAGCAGACACCGACGCCCGCTGAATGCTGGAGGAAAAACTTGCTGCGCAATTGGCAATGGTTGGGTGGGGGGGTGGTCTTTGATGTTGGAGTGGGACATGGTCAAGACAATTCCAAGGTTAACTTGTCGTTACTTGCCCCTGTCATTGTCATGGGTGCATCATGACCATCTAAGTCTAAGTTAGCCTCAACCGCTGGTCGCGGCGGCTTCAACCACTGAACGTCGCGCTCTCCCGGGTCCGGGGTACCCTGGCCTCGGGAGAGGGGACCGGGTAATGTCCACTGCCCTCTCCCGAGGCCGGGGTACCCTGGACCCGGGAGAAGATAGTGGGAACTGACCAGCATGTACTGGGAACCATGGCTCCTGTCACCCTCAACGATCCCCACTGCTCTCTCCCGGGTCTGGGGTACCCTGGCCTCGGGAGAGGGGACTGGGTAATTCCCATGGCTGTCTCCCTGGCCCGCCGCGTAACTCGGTGGGCGAGGGCTCTGGGGTCAGCGTGCGCATGCGTCATTTGCCTTCAGCCCCACAATGGTTTTGGAACGAATCGTGTTTGTTAGACTCATTATTTCAATCTTTCTCAGCCCAACTCACCGCAGTGTCAGTCATTAAATTGTGTTGATTGTCGTTGCTGACTCTCCGCAGTCGTTTTGCTCTCTGAATCAGGCTTAGCGTCTCCGAATCGACGCTGCTGCTTTCCTATTTTGCCTTGCTGGCTGTCTCAGGTAACATGGCGGCGGCGAAGCCTAAGAACGTGTCTTCCTGGCGCCTGAATGCGGCAGATAAGGAGGAGCTCGCGGGGCGCGTGGCTGCTGGGGAGACCGAAGCAGCCGTGAAGTACGAGATCCAGCTTCGCAAGGCTGAGGCCAATGAAGCTCGCAAGAGATCGGCGCAGGCCGTAGTGGACACGGTGGCTGCCGCGCCTGCGGGCCGAGCTCCTGCGCCACATGCCTCCGCGGAGGCTCAGATCGGAAAAGGGTCCGCGAACCAGCAGTATTACCAAGAGGCCAAAGCTGCCACGCAGAAGATCCTTGCTGAGTTTCCTGGCATTGAGGGCCACTCGCCTTTGCCATTCAGGCTCGGCAGGACCCCTACTCCAAGCTGAACGGGGCTGCGGCCCTGGAGGCGCATGGGGTGTGCCGGTGCAGCGTGAGCGTGTTCGCTCTGAACCTGCTCAGCAGCCCCACGCCAGACATTCCCATGTCGGCCAAGCGAGTCCACGACATGGCAACATTCTTTTACTCAAGCGGCCCAAAGTTCTTGACAGACAAACAAGTCGAAGTCTGCGCGACTTCAAGCACAGACCTGCCGGACACGCCATCCATGCTGCAAATGATTAGCCCGGAGGAGATCGTCCACGCCATGATCTTTGGGTGCGCGGAAGCTATTGGGCGGCATGGATGCAAGATGACTGTTTTGCCAAGCTAAGTTTAAACGTTGTTTGTCA